CAGCTCATACCTTCATTAAAACTTTGTTGGTCTTAAAAGTGCCACACTGGGCTCAAACTTTGTACTACTGCTTCAGACCAACATGGCTACCCATCGGGATCTACACTGGGGTATGGCTAAGATGCTCCCCGCCCAAAGGGGGAGGGGCAGACTCTGCAAGGTTCCCAGGCCTCCCGATCAGCATTGTGACAAACCTCACAGCAAGGATGACTGGGAGGGGAACTGGAGAGCAAGGGTGGTTGGGATGACTAACAGCTGGCTTGGATCCAGGGGAGGGGAGGCCCTGATGGGGAGGGGTTAATGCATACAAATGGAATCGGGGCAGCAAACTGGCTTGTGCTGCCCAGCCCCCAGCAATGGGTAGAAGGGTACAAAACCTCCCATGTGGAGGAGGACCCCCTTCCATTACTTCCTGAGAACTAGCCACATGCAAGGCTTATAACCAGGAGGACTGCAGTTATGTGAGAACGTTATGCCTTTCTCTGCAGACTTTCTGGCCTTACTGCTCTGTCACCAGTGCCAGCGGAAGACTCCCAAGTGCCTCATCATGTCTCCTTCTCTGGCTGGGAGGATGTTCTGCTGGGCATGAGGCGTGGGTTCTAGCCCTTCCTCTTCCTCCTCTCGTTTTGCTGTTGATGAGCTTGTTGCTGACCAAAACATTTTACCTTATTTTCCACTTTTGCATCCAAGTGAAAAAGGGAAGTCCAAGGTGCTGTTTCCTATGCCAGAGATCCCCCAGGGTGGTGTCCATGGGAGACCCGGTGCCCACTGATGCATTTTGCTGGTACCTGCCAAGTGTTCTTAGAAAGCAGGTGGGGCCAGATGGGCCAATTGCCCTTTGGAGATTTGATTGGCTGTGCAGATTTTTTTTTAAGTGTTGCTTAGGCAGCAGCTGTCACCCATGGGTAACGGAAGATCTTGACTGTAACTGAAAGTAAACAGCGGTAGCCATTTTGTGGCCGGCTCAGCCTTCTGCAGCAGCCATTTGGTGGTGGTCCCTTTGCAGCTGTGCTGCCACGCTGTGTCAGAATTCCAAAGGTGCCTGCAGGTTCAAAAAGGTTGGGGATCCTGCCCAGCATCATTGCTTTTTCCTAGTGATCTATTGGCGAGATGACCAAGATCAGGGGTCATTTCGTAGAAAAAGAGCTAGGGGAACTCATTAGCATAACTCATTAGCATATGCCACACCCCCTGACATCACCGGAAGTGTGTCATAAGGCGACACACCCCGCCCCCAACAGTCCCGGCCACCACCGCCGGCCTTGCAGCTCCACTGTCGAGCCCTAATAGGGGGCCCGGCGGTGGACCTGCAAGGCCGGCGGGAGTGCAAGGAAGCCCCGCGAAGGCCCTCCCTGGCCCCAGGCAGGCAGGGGTGGAGAGAGGCAGGGAGGAAGCAACTTACCCTCCCTCTTCTCCTGCCTCCTCCTGGGTGAATGAGGGCCGGAAGCGGGGCGGCCGGAAGCAGGGGGCGGGGCTTCGTCATGTGCCCCGCCCCCCGTACCTCACCCGGGGGAACTGCGATCCCCCCGAAATGACCTCTGACCAAGATGCCTTCTGTGAATGTGATGGTGTGTCATTTCCTGTTTGTCCTACTGTCTGTATTGGGACTTCCATGTCTGGAAGACATTGTGTGGTTCCCCGCCCCCCAGGAGGGTTTTGAACTAAGCCATGAACTGTTTGTAGGTGAAGATTAAAGCCTGTAGCTGTAGGGAGCCTATGGGATGTACCACAGTCCTTCATACAATTATTCCTTCCTTGCCTTGTGGGTGGGTCATGGAGCGCGGTGATGCCAGCGCCGCTTTGCATGCATTGGCTTTTTCTATGTACGCCCAGCAGAAGGGCGTCGTCACTGTGCTACACAATGACTGGCAGATGGACTCCAGTGCTCCCCTAGAGTAATACGGTTTCTGTTGTATTTTTTCTGCTAGTAGAACGTACTTCGTATTCTAAGGCTATGTCAGCAAGACACCAGTGTAACAAGACCTCACAGTTGGGCTGCTAGTAGGGATCTTGGCTGCGTTCTGTTAGCATGTATAGAAACCCTTCTGGTGCACAGAGCAAGGTTTGAGTCCAGTAGCACCATAAAGATCAACTAGATCTGACAAATTGAGCTTTGACTCTCAAAAAGCTTCTACCCTGGGAACCTTGTTGGTCTAGAAAAAGAGGAGGAGGAGGAGATTGGATTTATACCCCGACCTTCACTACCTGAAGGAATCTCAGAGCAGCTTACAATTTCCTTTCCCTTCCCCACAACAGACACCCTGTGAGGTAGGCGGGGCTGAGAGAACTCTGACAGAAACTGCTCTTTTTTCAAGAACAGCTGTGCCAGAACTATGGCTTGCCCAAGGTCATCCAGCAGGTGCAAGTGGAGGAGTGGGGAATCAAACCCAGTTCTCCCAGGTTAGAGTCCACGCACTTAACCATTACACCAAACTGGTCTAGTTTAAGGTGCTCCTGGACTTGAATCTTGCAGACCAGCACAGCTACCCACCTAAAACTAGCTTCTGGTATAAAAAGGTAAAGGTTCCCTTGCTCGAAAGCCAGTTGAATCTGACTCTAGGGTTGTGGTGCTCATCTCTGTTTCAAAGCCGAAGAGCCGGCGCTGTCTGAAGACGTTTCCGTGGTCATGTGGCCGGCATGATTAAACACCAAGGCGCACGGAATGCTGTTACCTTCCCACTGAAGTGGTACCTATTTATCTACTTGCAATTTCTTGCTTTCAATCTGCTAGGTTGGCAGGAGCTGGAACTAGAGACGGGAGCTCACTCCGTCATGCAGCACCCGGGTCTTGAACTGCTGAACTACCGACCTTCCACAGCCTGCAGTTCAGCGTCTTAACCACTTGAGCCACCGCAGCTCCTAGCTTCTGGTATAGTTTGTGTAATTTGCCTGTGCCCTTTTCAGTTTAGTGTATGATGCTTTCCACAGGGACAGTACTCCTAGAATTGTGATACATATCCTTTTGATGTATGTCTTGTTGGTATTTTTGCATTTGTGTGTGTGTGTGTGTGTGTGTGTGTCCATGCCTGGAAGTCATGGCGACCTCTGGCGAGTCCTACTGGGGCACGGAGGACGTTCAGAGAAGTGGCTTGACAGCCTGCCTCTGGCCTCCCGGCCCTGCTATTCTCTGGAGGTCTCCCATCCAAATACTTGCCAGGGTCGGCCCTCCTAAGCTTCCAAGATCTGATGAGATCAGGCTTGCCTGGGCTATCCAGGTCACAGCCTTTTGATGCACGTCTTGATAACCAATTTCCTTGCCCCCCCCAACCCCTCTAGAGTTTCTGAAGGGAATATGGGCACTCTGCGCTTAAAGGAGTCACAGTAAATCCACATTTACTGAAACGGCATCACTGATTAGCAAGTCAAATAAGAGCAACTCCACAATAATGTAATCAGATTTTTTTTTAATTTTCATGTTCAAAGAACAGCTTACAGAAAATACAAATGTCCAGTGGATGTTACCACACCATTTAAGATGGAAATCAGTTCACTTTTTAGAAGTTAGGCTTGCTAGTCATATCGAGCATATGGTCATAAAATGGAACTGAAACCAACTCACTTTGAGTTCTCTGGTTGTATTCTATAAATCAACCAATGGCCGGGATCTTGCCTAGAACTTCTACGGGCACTAGAGGGGCGGTTTTTACATATTGTTCACTCCTCTGGGAGACCAGACTCCCCCAACGTTATTTCTTGGGCTCCCCCGTTCCCCAGGAACAGCATTTCAGGGAGGGGGGGAAATCAGCAAAAACTGCCCCATTCTTGAGCCTATGGAAATACTAGGTGGGATTCAAGCTTTGTCTTTCTGTTTTTTCAATTTCCTGTTCATGTGGCCAGTACTATTAAGTGAGCCAGTTGTTGGTGTTTCACATTTACATTTTTTTTAATTAAGAAGACTTAAGACATCACCATATCATAACTACTATATAATGTTCTCAACTTGTATTTCTCATTTAAACTGAGGTTTCCCACTGCATCAGCTTAAGAAGCTTGCATTGCTGGGTTTTGGCAGAGCTAGGAAGGTCATTTGGATGGCAGAGGCTCAACATTTCCCCTATATGTTAACTTCAGAGATGCACTGCAGTTGGCATGCTGGGTCAGTTGAGCAGTTACAAATTGTTACGTGACCACCTATTATTTGATTGCAGTTGAATAGTCCATGGTTCCAAGAATACCACTGTGTACACAGCAGTTTACCTTTAAAGGTAAAATTCCACTGCCATTTTTTAGCTAGGGCTTTTTGCTGTTTAGCTCTGCAGCTGTTGGGGACAAGCCTAGCAAAGCAGAATGGACTATTTTGTATTTGTAATTAGCCTGTTTGCTGTTCTAACAGTTAATGCTTTAATACTCGATTGGTATTTGACAATATTTGAAAATCACCAGTCAGTTACCTGGAGTCCTATGATGCATTAGAGTGCTCCAAGAAGAACCTCACCCAGCTTTCTTGGGGTTGGATCCAGCCTAAATTTTCCATCAGCGGAATAAATTTTCCCAATCCTTCTCTCCCAACTGCAGCCCACTGGTCTCCACAAAATGATGCTCTTGGGGGAGTGGGGTTTGCAGTGAGAAGGGGCATCAATTAAAATTACCAACTGAGTCTGGATCCAGCCCTAAATCTTTAAGACTGTGTACACTGGTTCTAAAGTAGGAACATTTTCCTGAATGCAGAAAGTATTCTAGTACATATAAAAATATTATAAATTATTCTTGCCTGTGTCTCACTGTTTCTGAGACTATGGCACTTAATACAGAAGTTTTAACAGTTACACGTATAAAATAAGAAAATATGTATACTGAGCTGCATTGACAATTTTGTTACAGTAGAATACATATTGCCTAGGGAAACAAGTGTCTGTCACACATAGTATAAAATCTTCCACACATAATACTTCATCATACAGAGGAGAGGGTTGCTTCCCTGCTACAAAACCAGCATGTTTTAAATACATCCCTGTTTCAATTATGCTGACCAAAACAGTCCATGAAATCCAAGGCTGAAATCATGTCACAGCCAAACTAACATGGCTGTTGCAAACATGTTGTGGGCTCCCTCTTTCAGAGTGTAAGCCAATCCTATGCACCCCTGCAGAGGAAAGGAACTGCTTGCCATGACATTCAAATTAGCCACACTGTGGTTATAGATAGGCATCTGTTGGAGTCAACCAACTTTTCCTGCTGGTGAAAAAGGAAGGAGGTGTCCTCTTAACGACTACCCAAAATGGCAATTCTGAGACTCATACGACTTACATGTACAAAAGCCATGTGGGACGGGGGTGTAGGATGGAGAGGAACTGGATAAGAGTGAAAAAGCTGTCCAGATCCAACCCCATGGTTTGCTTCCCAACTCGAATCAGAACCCTGCTTCAGATTGTGATATGATTGTAGTTTAGAGGCAAACGCTGGTTAGTTTGCCAATTTGGATGTTACACCAAGTTATGATTCTTGTGAGCCAAGATGAGGAAGAAGGCACTAGTATGCCCAATGGAGAGAGAAGAGGAAACCCACAGTGTGTTCTTATTAGACAAATCCTGGTTTGAATGAAGGCATTGGGGTTCACTTCTGAATGCGCAGCATTACTCTACACATATGCTGTTTTAAAAAAAACAACCCAAACCTCAGTGACATAGTATAGATCTTGACACATATTACACCTACATGTGTTTCTTTCGAGAGAATATTTATTGCAAGGTCCGTGATCTCCAAGATATAAAACTAAAATAGGTATTTCCAGCGTAGCAGAATGTGACAGCAAAGGCAAAGAACTGTATAGAGGGAAAAGAGAAAATAAAAACAAACTGTTAGAAGACAGCAAGAATCATTTAGCAAGATTATTTGTATTCAACAATAATTTATAAAGATGGAATGAAAAGGTTCTACAAAAAGGTTCTCCAGGACTCCTGAGTGCTGCAGTCATTGTTAAAATCTTGACTTCGGTGCACAGGCTATTTTTAATGCCATCTCACTGACTTTAAGCAGAATAAATAATTGTGGGTCTTTTGTTAACTAGTTCTTACATGTGCGTTTTAAGTAACACTGCATCTGGGTGTTCTGTGGCTTGCAAGCGTTGGTCTACAATGCCCACTTCTGCCAACATAAATCATACTGAGATATTACATTCAACAATTCCATGAAATATTTTTGCATGTTCTGTTTACACAGACATTGCATTCTTAAATCGTGACAGCTAACACTGCTCTTGGCCAATGGAATGCTCCCCTTCCACTGTCTGAACTCCGCTGACAAACTTAATTTGTTTAGGCGGGGGGGGGAGTGAGTAGCATACATTTCCTTCCCAATGGGGACCCAAACCAGCTTGCACTGTCCCCCTCTCCACCAGTTTTATCTTCACGACTGCCCTGTGAGGTATTCAAGGCTGAAAGAGGGTGACTGGCCCAAGCTGGCTCAGCAAGTTTCCAGGGCAGAGTGAGTATTCGAACCTGGGTCTCCCAGATCCCAGTCTGACACTCTATACCATGCTGTCTGTCATGGCCATTACATGGGAATTAGATGTGAAAATCTGTGTACTTGTGCCGACAGATGTAGCTCCGTCAAGTTCACCATTATCTCATGAACTGGTTGTATGCATCAAGATGGACGACTGAATTCCACAGATACTCATTATTACATTCTTCATGTGGCTGACTCTCGTTACATTGGTCTTTTTGAGCAGTTATTTTTAATAGTGTTAATTTACATTCCTGATCACATTTTTATATTAACACACATACACAAAACCTGCGTACCTTCTCACACACATACAATGGCCTGTATCCTGCCACTCCAACTCACCAAAGTCTGAAGCCCTCCTCCAGCCTGCCTCTAACTTAAAGGGCTCTTCCGCCGGAGGAGGAAGGCTCCTTAGGCTGGAGGAAGTATTCAGACTTTGCTGAGCAGAGAGGTAGAATACAGGCAACTGAATACTATGCATAGTTTTACAGCTTAACTTACCGATGAAGCTGCCCAGCTGTTGTAGTTGTGGCTGTGCAAATCTTTGGTGACTGCAGATGATTCTACAATGGCAGCGATGAGGTACAAAATAAAGGCACTCCCATTAAAACACAGACCCTATATGAAGAAGAAGAAGAGTTGGTTTTATACCCCACTCTTTACTACCTGAAGGAGTCTCAGAGCAGCTTACAATCGCCTTCCCTTCCTCTCCCCACAACAGACATCCTGTGAGGGCTGAGAGAGTTCTGAGAGAACTGTGACTGACCCAAGGTCACCCAGCTGGCTTCATGAGGAGGAGTGGGGAGTCAAAGCTGGTTCTCCAGATTAGAGTCCACCACTCTTAATCACTACACCAAGCTGGCTCTATGTGGGCAAAGAAAAACAGGATGATAGTATTTAATATATATAATTTAATGTACACTTCTTGCATAAGTGTACCTAGCAGTTCGAAAGCAAGAAATTGCAAGTAGATAAATAGGTACCACTTCGGTGGGAAGGTAACAGCGTTCCGTGCGCCTTTGTGTTTAGTCATGCCGGCCACATGACCACGGAAACGTCTTCAGACAGCGCTGGCTCTTCGGCTTTGAAACGGAGATGAGCACCGCAACCCTAGAGTCGGACTCGACTGACTTTCGAGCAAGGGAACCTTTACCTTTACCTCTTGCATAAGTGGAAGTCATGTGGACAGTACAATATGAGAATTTGCTGCTATGTCCAGTCTGCCATAATGGGCAGGCTTTCCTTGGCTGAAAACCTATCTTATGCTGTTCCCACCTAACTGAAGCTACACTTTACTCTCAGATCTGGTCCCAAGAACAGCTGGTGCAGTCTGCTTCACATCATGTGTTGAGCCACTGATTGGCTCCATCATGTTCCAATTTAATGAGGTATCTGCTTTCTTGCCATGAAAGACATACTTGCTATGGGAAGGGGCTGTGGCTCAGTAGTAGAACATCTGTTTGCCATGCAGAAGTCCCAAGTGCAATCCCAGACATCTCCAGTTAAAAGGACCAGGTATTAGGTGATGTGCAAGACCTGTGCTTGAGACCCTGGAGAGCCGTTGCCAGTCTGAGCAGACAATACTGACCTTGATGGCCTGATTCAGTATAAGACAAATGTGGACGAACACGACCTAATCAGAGAACAAGTATAAAGAAAACAGTTGTGAAAGTCTGACCCACAAATCAAGCAGTCAACAAGACTTGCAAAAATGCTTCCTGTGTATTAGTCTAAATTCCTACAAAACCATAAGAAAATCCTAGAACAAAGATATATCATCAAAGATACATCATCATCGTCATCTCCGGATTATATAACGATGTTTCAAAATTGGATCTTCCTCAGGAATATTAGAGTGGCACAAAAGCTCCCTTGCTCTTAAAGTGCTTAACAACAAGTCATGATCTATTAGAAGTTTAGCAGCATATCTGAGCCTGAACATATTGAGATCAGCGTCCTATTTGAATGAATTGTATTATCTTTCATGACTAGGATTTTCTTATGATTTGTAGGAATTTAGACTGTAATACATAGGAAGCATTTTTTTGCAAGTTTTGTTGACTGCTTGATTTGTGGGTCAGACTTTCACAACTGTTTTCTTTATACTTGTTCTCTGATTCAGTATAAGTCAGCTTCATGTGTTGCTTCATTGTCAGGCTCTGTATAATGCCTGTACAGATTCTCAAAGAACACTGCCCACCTCCTCAGGAGCAGCTCCACTGTGTGAAAATAGCTCTAGCAACAGTCTGCAGTTATGACCCTTTCTTGAGCAGATCAGCAAAACGGAGCCTTCCCACCAGTGGATCTGTTAAACATTAGACATCGCAGCCTGCTGCTTCACAGGTTGGGCTGGGTGGTTCCTCACAAGTAACTCTTATACTGCTGCTGTGCCCTATGCTTCACGCACTCACAACAAGTAGCATATGAGAGACAAGGAAAGAGATTGCTTTCCCCCCCCTGAAAAGAAGCTGGACAATCTGAACACAGAAAAAGCACATTCTTGGAAACTGAAGATATTAAAGTGACCTATTCATGTTGGATCCTGCAGGCTCACTCTGTGTCATGGACCAGAGTACAGACTCTTCCTCATCAGGCCAAGAGGCCAAAGACTTAGGCTGCGGTCAGATGACAGGCTTGGCACAGTCTGGCTACGCCTCTAATTCCTTCTGGAGAGTTTCGACCAGACACGCCACCCTTACCCCAAACTCACCCCATGGTTGACTGATGAGACTACCGCTGCATGTTCACCATGGAGCAGGGGGTCAGGCAGCTTCTTCTTTTTCTAAAGGTCTCTTTGTGCATGCGCAGAACCACTTATTCGACAGGGGCAGTTATGTGCACATTGATAACTGGGGGGGGGGAATGGCGGTCAGGGAGTGGAAGCCTCAGACTTCCCAAATGCTTTGAGTGCACTACGGAGAGATCAGATATTTGGAAATGCGCTGTGAGACCGGAACAGTCCATGAACACCAGACTTTGTCCGGTGTTGGGAAAGTCGGGGGTGAGGACTGGGGCCTGATGACTGGGGAACAGGAGACTGATGACACTGTCTAGATGAGCATATTAAATCTGGAAGGGAGGAGCAACGACATTGGATCAAACTGCTTGTCTGACTGCAGCCTTAGAGGAGGAGGCAGCTGAGACACCTCAAGGAGCGGCCTCTAATGGGCAGGAAGAGTCCTAAGACTCCGAGTCAGCCTTCTCACCTTGGGATATGGCCCTGCCTTCTGAAGCAGACTCGGATCCTGAACCCTCCATCCCAAAGCTCTCTCATCCACTGACACCTCAGGCCTTTCAAAGCCCTGAATTACCTCAGCCTACTCACGGTACTCACCACCACCAAAACCTTTAGATACTGGCAGTCTGCTTCCAGATTTGATTTCTTCAGTCAGGGCTTTATAGAGCCTGAAGTATCCTGATTGGCCTCCTGCTCCCACGTGCTAAGGCCCAATCAGGTGATTCCTGAAGGCAAATTGGATGAAGCCCACATGACTCCCTTGGGCTGCACAGACTCTTTGATTAAAAACCAAACCACAGCTGGTTCCGTGGTTTAAGTTGTAAGGGGCTGGGGCCTAGCTGGTAGAAGGCCTAGTTTTAGTCCTACCTGACTGCCTTACAGAGATGCCCGTGGTATGAATGGTCAGATTTTTAGGATTTGCTCAAACTTACTTAAGAGACATTGTTAGCCTTTCTTTCTTCACTGAACCCACTCAAGGCAAGTTTAACCCAACCAACTCCAATTCTTGTACAGCCTCTCCAATTCCGAAGCAGCCTGCCTGAAAATGTACGTGCATATTCCATTTCCTTTGCGAATTAATAATCTTATCAATTCACAGAGCAGCTTTAAGAACCCCTTTCCCTTGATTCTGTTAGAACTGATTTTAATGTAATGTTGGTGAGGCTAAAAGAACTTGCCCGTGGGGTTTTGCACTCACACCACATCTTGTATAATC